CAAACAAACAAACAAAACAATAAAAACACTGATAATATTGTTTTGTTGTTCTTGCAATATTGAATAAAGTGGTGTTTGAATTAAAATCACTTAAGTCTCATTGGTAGCTAAGAGTGATAGCTCATCAGAGTAAACTCCTTATTTTTATTTTCCATTATTATTCTTTTATTTCACCACCTCAGTTCACCCAAGTGAAAGGCAGAATATAAAAAAAGCTTTTTATGGTTTTTATTAAATGTTTTTATAAAAAGCTTAATTTGCTAAAAAAATTTAAATAAAATGTTTATATTAAACTTTTAATGTTTAATAAAAAGCTTTTATATCAGAAATGTGACCTGACACGGAAGCGCCTTCGTGCTGCCACCTATTGACAAGAACCTGCTACTACACCTACATTGTTTCAGCTGTTGTAGAAATCAGTGACTCAGCTATTTTTCTACAATCTGTGCTGAATTCATTCCAGTGGATTTCAAACATTAATATGCTGGTGTGTGTTTAAACAGTCACATTCAGTAACATGGAATATTAAGTTTATTTCAGTGGTTCAGTCAGTTCAGGGAGTGAATCATGTGATTAGAATATAACTTCAGACCAACAAACAGAAACATTTTATTTCACAAATGTGGGTTTGATGTCAGTTAACCAAAAGGCATTTTTAATCTTACAAAAGAATCTCATTGGAAAGTATAATTAATTGAGTCCAAATATTCACAGTGCCTAGAGTTATTATATTGGCACATCAGGTTGTAGTTTTCTAGGTTTTGATTTAGTTTTGAAACTAAATAGTATACGGCCTGGGGTATTTTAGAGGAACATATAGTTCTGTTGTGAGACGTTTTTTCAGTCAATTATATTTACAATGAAGAAGTTAAATACACTAATCTAAAACACATGTGGCCTCATACTGTTTAACTTTAAAAATGAGTCAGAAACTACAAACTACAATCTTATGTGCCGATATAACTATACGTGTTTTGTTCTAATTATACAGATCTATTCATACTCAATAAATTAAAATAAAGAAAATGTGGTATTAACATTCAGATGAAGAGTATCTTTGATTATTGACTTCAAGCAGGTATAAAGTATTGCTCTCTTTAAGCCTATGAAGCAAAATGTTTTTATTAATTTGTCTATCTAATCTCAAATGTCATGTTTTCATTAGATGTAACCAGAAATTTATCAAAAATAAACAGAAATACAAGGTTTTAAAACATCAATCTATGAGGAATTATTCAAAGTACTGTGTTGTAACAAGGTGAATTGAGAAAATAAAATAATTGAACATTTCAATAATTTTTTAATTTACTAATACTGTATATATACTGTAAAACTTATGAATCGTTCACAGTTTCTTAATCATACCTTGAACTGGTCATACAGGACTTAATAGTTCTCTTTTTCAAATAGGGAAACATGAAACAGGGACTTGTAATTGTAATCAGATGGTAACAGAAGAGCATCTTTTATTAGAATATAATAAATATTCAGAGGAACTACAGAGTTTAAAGTCAATACTAAACAGAGGAAAAAGCATTTTCTATAATAACTTTTGGAGAATGAATGAAAATCTCAGAATTCGATTACTTTTCAAAAATACTAGGTTATTTAATTGAATGCTGCAGATATTTGGCTGTTCAAATGCGTTACAAAATACAGAAATTTTAATGTGTTCACTCATGTTCGGTAGTGAAACATTATTTCAATAGTTTACTTTAGAAAACTGATTTATTCTCTTTTTTGCAACAGATATCTTGCTCTGTGAATTTTGCCATATTAAAAGACGGAAATAGGACTGAAAATGGGCGAACGAAGGGCGGATGTGGAGAATGTGAGACGCACCAAAAGCCTTCAACATGAACGTGCATTTGAGAGACGGACACTACGGAGCCGCTGTCAACCCGGGTCTTTTTAAAACGTCCTAGACCCGATTCTCCACCGTCCTTAGAGGCAAAACCTCTCGTAAAGATACAGATGTGCAAGTGAAAACACAAATCCCCTGTGGTAAATCTGTTCTAGAACCAGCCTACAAACCTCACTCCTTATTTATATAAATGTTTTGGTAATACTCTGTAAAACACCAGAATGTTCACATAAGTTTTATACTTTTGGCTGTCTGAGGACACATTTAAAATACTAAATCAGGTGTTATGATCAGTTACTCAGTACTTCAAAAGAAAATACACAGGAAGAACATTGTTCCAGCAGGGAATAGTAAATAAATAGAATAATCCCTGAGCTTTACCATCTGTTAAGTGTTTATTGAAAATGAATATTGACCATTAAAATTCATGCAAAGTTCAGGAGGAAGAGATGGGCTCTGCTGCTGTATCTATAAATGTTTTCACGATTTAATATGTTTTCTACGAAACAGAAAAAAAGAAAAAGACCATCAGTATCATCAGTATAATAATTTATTATCTAAAAATTATATTAAAAGTTTCAATAATTTTCTAAAATACAATCCATATCATTACATTTTCTAAGCAGAAAAATCATTAAAACCAAGTCAAATAAATACATCCATTTCCCCAAATCATTTAAATAAAATAAATAAGTACAAAGGATAAAACACAAGAAAGATTCCAAAATTTTACAAGTCTAAATCTGAAAGCAGTCAAACCTGCAATTACTCCACTTCCAAACAGCAGGTTACTAAGAATCTTACTTGAGGTTCACATTGTGCCATCAAACCTGTGAGTTCTCATGTGAACTGTTACATTTCTTTTGAGTGAAACCTTTTCTACAGAACCTACAACAGAAAGGTTTCTAACCCATGTGAATCTTCTTGTGATGAAGTAAACTGGATCTACACAAAACATTTTCCTCGCTTTTCACTAAGGGTGCACCGATTGCAGTTTTCATTTTGGGGCGCTCCAATAGTCACACCTCTCAACGGAGAGCAGAAGAGAGCAGTGGCTGAGGTCAATAAAATTGGGGGATCAGACCAGCTTCACATGCAAGAATCAGCTGATGTCCCAAAATTAAGGAAATAAACATGGATTAATCGGCTGGCTGATAAATCAGTACACCCGCTACTTCTCACATGTGTGAATTCTGATGTGAGAAGTTAAATAGTATTTTTGAGCAAAACTTTTTCCACAGATTGCACATTACTTCATCACATGACATTACCTCATGTGATGAAGTAAAACAGATCTGAAAACTAAGCATTTTCCATAGGTCCCACATGAGAACAGCTTGAAACTGAGTGAATTCTCATGTGAGCAGTTAAGCTATTTTTATAAGTGAAAATGTTCCCACAGATCTTGCATGAAAAAGGCTTCTCATCAGTGTGAGTTCTCATGTGAAGATTTAAACTGTGTTTACTAGAGAAACTTTTTCCACAGGTCCCACATGAGAAAGGTTTCTCACCTGTGTGAGTTCTCATGTGCTCAACTAACTTAGATTTACACAAGCACTGTCTTCCACAGGTGCCACAAGACATAGTCCCCTCACCCGTGTGAAATCTCATGTGAGTAGTTAAATTTCTTTTTTGAGTGAAACTTTTTCTGCAGGTTCCACATGAGAAAGGCTTCTCGGTGTGAATTTTCATGTGAAGATTTAAACTTATCTCATCATAAAAACGTTTTTCACAAGTCCCACATGAAAAAGGCTTCTCACCTGTGTGAACTCTGATGTGCCTAACCAAGTCAGTTTTCCTCCCGAAACTTTTTCCACAGGTCCCACAAGAGAAAGGTTTCTCACCTGTGTGAATTCTCATGTGAAGATTTAAATTTATTTTAAGAGTGAAACTTTTTCCACAGGTCCCACAAGAGAAAGGCTTCTCACCTGTGTGAACTCTGATGTGCCTAACCAAGTCAATTTTTCTCCGGAAACTTTTTCCACAGGTCCCACAAGAGAAAGGCTTCTCACCAGTGTGAATTGCCATGTGATCAAGTAACTGATATTTAGTCATAAAACTTTTTCCACAGGTTGTGCACGTGTAAGGCCTCTCACCCGAGTGTGTTTTCATGTGTCTGTTTAAAGAGCTGATTCGATGGAAACTTTTTCCACAAGCTGTACATGTGTACGGTTTTTCCCCTGTATGACTTCTCATGTGATAAATCAAAGTACTCTTGTGAGGGTAATGTTTTCCACAGGTTGAACATGTGAAAGGTTTCTTAGCTGTGTGAGTTGTCATGTGTGTTGTCAAGGTATTATTTCGAGAAAAGGTTTTGTCACAAATTTTACAAGAATATAGTTTTTGGTTTGGGTGAGCTTTCTTGTGCTTTTTTTGTTTTGAAGTCTCAGTTTTGCCTTTCTGTTTGTTCACCAACATGTCATCAGTCTCCTGTTTCACCATAAGCTGTACTTTATCCTGACTGATGCAGAGTTGCTTCTCTTCCTCTGTGAACTGTTGAGGTTCTGGTTCCTCTTGCTCCAGTTTCATCTGCAGAGGTTCTGGTTCCTCTTGCTCCAGTATTATCTGCAGAGGTTCTGGTTCCTCTTGCTCCAGTATTATCTGCAAAGGTTCTGGTTCCTCTTGCACCAGTATTATCTGCAGAGGTTCTGGTTCCTCTTGCACCAGTATTATCTGCAGAGGTTCTGGTTCCTCTTGCACCAGTATTATCTGCAGAGGTTCTGGTTC